TTTTTCAAGGACAGCTGTGCCAGAGCTTGTGACTGACCCAAGGTCACATCCGCGCACTTAACCACTACACCAAGCTGTTCTTGAAAAAGAGCAGTTTCTGTCAGAGCTCTCTCAGGCCCACCTACCTCCCAGGGTGTCTGTTGTGGGGAGGGGAAGGGAAAGGAGTTTGTAAGCCGCTCTGAGAATCCTTTGGGTAGTGAAGGGCGGGGTATAAATCCAATCTCTTCTTCTTCTTCTAAATCCAATCTCTTTCTTCTTCTTCTTCTTCATAATAGGGATGTAAATTTATGGAAGCAATATATTACAGGGAAGATTATGAATAAACCTTGTTCAGATCGGGGCCATGAACAGTGGTGGACTTGTAGACGAATGAGCCAGTTACTTGCTTTCTCTCACTTAGGCTAACCTGCTTTGCCAAAGTGGTAAGGCGGATAAAATGAAGATCTATGTACATTAATCGCAAGTGCCTTAGAAGGAAGGTGAGGTAAAAAAAGGGGGGGCAGAAATAATAATATGTGGATCTCCTGGCAGAGGTGAGATTCGAACCTGGGACTTCAGTCACAGCCCAGTCTTTTAATTACTACATTGTACTAGCTTTCCTCCATGTAGAACTATAATTCCCAACATTCCCTGGGGGAGACGGAATAACCATTGACCCAATTACTTCTTCAAACTCTTTTCAGCGTCTGTCCCAGTTTTCCCCTATTAAATGGCACGGCAACTGTGTTTTAGACGGCATCTTTTGAGCTGTGGCAGGATTCCCCCCACCCCCTCGTTCGGCCTTTTAGCTCTCTCGGCGTTCAAGGGTTGCCTTTCTTCATCTTCTTGTCTTTTTCTCTTCGAGCTTAATCATATCTGGGGATAAGAAGGGAACCGTCTCTGTCTTGTTCCCTTTCCGTTGAAATATATATTTCAATCCCGAGTGCCATGTAATGTCAAAGCTTAACAGCTTCGGAGCAGGAAGCGCTCACATTTCACTCGGCAAAGGACCCCGTACAAATTAAGCTTGGGGCGGGAGAGGGCTGCCGGGTGATGGATTATTAAATCTGGGCTCTGTCGCCCATCGTAATGATCTCTCG